AGAGTGTCCCCAAAGCCAAGAATACCAGTTCCAGATCTCAGTAGGTTAACAATGAGTCTAATATCTTTTGTAGAGAAAAAACATCTGTAAAAACATTATGGTCTGGGAGCAAGATTGACCAAAACACTGTCCCAAACCAAAAAGGAAAATAAAACCTTAAATGCAGTATAACATGACATCTATCCTACTGAACACATGGTAGGGTAACAACTGATGACCAGGTCATTTTCTGTGAAATAAAGGAGAATTTGATGTTAAGGATTTACAAGAAGTCCTGAAATGATTTTTGATGCTCCAGTTAGTATTATCAAATAAATAAATAAATACATACATTTTAAAAAATCCTATCTTTTCCTTTACCTGTATCACCTAGATACTTCATACAGGTTTTCAACGTTAAAGTAAGATTTTGATTTGGATTTCAAACAAACATGAATTTTTACTGCAAGATGCTGGACATGACCCATTTCCATTCATCATTTCCCATAAGTGCTTGGGCCCTCTCAAGTTTTGCTGCTTTCGTGTGGGAATAGTCTTTGCATGCAAGAAACCTTAGGATCTGCTGTTACTGTCTTTTGTATGAGCAGCAATACATGCTGAAGAGGTACTCCTAAGAGATGCTCTTTACTTTTTAGTTACCCTATACCAGGACTCATTCCAAAAACTTCTTTGCTTATGAGAAATCTTTACTCACATGCATAAAGGTGTCATGTCCCTGAAGACCTCACAGTGTGCATCCATGCCTGTGCTGATGTTAGGTCAGAGGGTGTACGCACAGGGGAGGGCTCAGCATGCTATACATACAGATAATGAAAATGACAGTTACTCATCACCATACTCCTCCTGCAAGGTAAGCGTTATCTTTTCTGCTTTACGGAACCTAAACCAATAGTCTGAGCAAGTGAAACTTCTGTCTTTCCATGTGAACCATGTAAGTGTTACAGTAGTTGGGAACCTGGCAAGGATGGATGAACTATTTGTACACAGATCACCTTCCACATCTTCTCCAACATACTGCTATGTGACAAAATGGTTTATATCTTAATTTGTGAAATTTATTTTTTACTGTAAAACAAATGATAATGAGGAGCTCTTTAAGTTAATGTTTTATTTCCAGTGAGTCAAAGTTTTGGCATTAGTTTAAATGGAAAAAAACATTAATCCTCCCAATTGAAAAAGAGAGTTGTTGACTAGCTATGCCCTGACAGAATTCATTTTCGAAATTGTTCACAGATTTTTCTCATCAAATTTTAAGTAATTAATTTCTCGTTATTGACGGCTAAGGACTAACAATTATGTTTTCTATTAAGGTTCAGATACTGTGTCATTTGAAACATTTACTTCCAGAACCAAGAAGAAAGGCATATTTTAGTATTTACTACGATGCTTGTATATACATATATATAAGAAACTGTCACGTGTAATAGGAACAAACATTTGTTAGTTATATTTAACCTTTGGTTAACTAATAATATTATGAGTTGTAGTTCAGAGGAGGAAGAAATGTTTGTTCCCAGCTGTGTAATACAGACAAGCCTTGAGGGCTGTTGTGAAGCTCTTTGAATTATTTTTTTCTCCTCTGTCCTGCTGGGAAATGTACAGAAATTGATACAAGACCCCGCTATCATTCATGTGGCAGCAGACTAGGAATGACTGCTAGAATGTCCGGGACATGCTTTATGTTTAGCGCTGACAATCTAAGCAAGACAAATATGATTTATGGTACAATAGTTCAGATGGGGAATGAATGGAGATGTCGTGGTGAAAATATCAGCCTAAGTAGGTTATGTGAAGGAAGTAGGTTTTAAGGAGGGATATGAAGGAAATTTGGCATGTGGCAGATGGGAAGTTATTCAAATACAAGAGACAACATGGAAAAAGAAGTGAAGTTGAGAGTGGGAGAAAAATATGAAAGGGACAGTAGGACAAGAGGGACAGTGGAAAATTCTGCTGTTCCTTTCCACATATAACTAACCAAAAACATGTTCATAGCCTGAAAAGGTGACTAATGAATTTCTGGTGAATTCCGGTTTATAAGAAACTTAATAAAGTTTCACCAATTTCTCCACAAAAATTTACTTCAGCAGCTTTCTTTCCCTAGCTCATGTACAGCTTTGCTTGTTCCTTCCCAACTAATATTGCTCCTTGTCTTTTTTTCCCTACTTTGCTCTGCCAGTAATTGAAGCATTCTCAAATTATTTGTTTGCTTCTTCTCCAGTTAATTTTGCAGGTTATTCCATGATGATCAGAAACTGAGGAACCCTTTCCTTCAGCTGAGTGAGCCCTGTTATCCAGCCCCTCTCCCTTTGCAAGTTCTTTTTCTCCAACTTGTCAGCTAATGCTCATCCTTAGGCCAAGATGAACAGGGATAGAAATTATATATATGTGTAGTGAAAAAAAAAAAAAAAGTTAAAATCAATTGTATGTAAGGGACTATTTACACAGTTACCATCCTTTTCGTGGTTATTTGTTTTTTCGAGGGAGAGCTAACAACTGAATGACAGAGGTAAAGAACACAAAAGAATGACTTAATTTAACATCCACATAGATAAAATCAGAGATGGAAACATAAAAATACAAAAGCTGAATCTACCAGAACTCCAGAAGAATAAAGTCTAACAGAATCGCCAGAAGTGTAAGCTTACCAGGATTTACATCCCACAGCAGCACACTTTGCATACAGTAAGCGCTGAGGCTTAGTTTACCCTGTTACTTAAAGAACTCATTAAGGAATCATCTGTTTTGGGACTAGTGTAGCCATAAAATCTTTCTCTGCACTATTCTGAGAATGAACTTTAATCCATATCTTATCTTCTGCTTGAAAATGAACATCCTTTCTATTCTTATCATGTTTCTGCCTTTTTTTTCTTTTTTTTTTTAATTTTTGAGCATTAGCCATATTCTTCTTGGCAGTTACATGAAGTTGTTCCTGCTTGGCTGTTTGTTGTGCTGAGTTACCTTTGAAATTCTTCCCTCTTTTTATGACTACACTCCAGAGGCCCTTTTAATAACCTGCCCAGTGCTAATACTTCCATGAAAGCCAGGCTTGCTCTGATACACTCCCTGCTTTCTCCTCAGCTTGTACAAATCTTTCACCATGATACAACACAGTTTATAGAGAAGAAATACTCAGATAATCATGCTCTACAGATCTGCTTCATGCTGTCAGCTAAACTGGCCTTGGATCAGGGGACAGCACGGAGACTATGCTGTGCCTCCTTGCCATCCACAGTGGATAACACAAGGGTCATTTTTCCTTGTAGGCTCATCTGGGATGTCAGTGCCATTTTACAAACTGGCTTCATCAAGTTGTCTCTGTTGTGGTTTGATGTAATGTGGAGTGAAGTGTATCTGGAAACACTGCTGGTTTGGGAACACGCTCATTTTATTTACCTACCCACCCATCATCTAGTCAGAATTTCGGCATCCCTGAGGGCTGTGGCGGGCGTCGCCTTGTGGCTGCCGGGCCACATGCGGAGGCAGTAGGGGACAGGCGGTTTGCAGGCGCCTCACGGGGCGGTCCCCTGCGTGTTTGCATTGGGCAGCGGGCGTGAGGAGTCCTCAGATGAGAAAATATATTTCGATGGAATTGTAGGTGTCTTTTTTTTATTTTTTTTGTTTCTTAAAAAAAAAAAAAAAAGTTGGATAGATTTCCTAGCTTACTGGTGGAAAGTGGAGTTCTTGGCAAGCTGGCCCCTGTCAAGGCTTTACTTGGAACTTCCAGCAGATACTTCGGTTAAAAACCCTTAAATCTTCCCTTCTCTTAACAGCATAGTGCAGTAAGTAAAAGGGAAGAGTGTGGGTTTAAATGAGATTTTTTATTATTTTTTTTTTCCCAGATGAAAATCTTCAAGTAACCTACGGAAGTAAAATAACACAGTCAGGGCTCACTTTTTATTCTGAGGGAAGAATGTAACTAATTGACCTATCTGTAATGCTTTTGGAGTAATGCCACTGAAAATATGTTCTTTTTAATTAAGCTAACCGGCTGATTTATTGGACCCGTAGCTCAGATTTTCTTGTGCTGAAGGGATTTTCTTGTGTTTCCTTTAATGATGAGCATGGTAGTCTCAGCTGGCCGAAGTAACCGCAGCGATTCTGTGGAGCCAAAAGTTGCATATAGGTGGTGTGGAGTGATTTAAAGATTGGTGATCCTTTCAGTTTATGGAAAAAAAAAAAATAAAAAGTTTTTTTTTTTTTTTTCTCGATTGTATCTCACTTGAGTGTGAAATTTTACTGTTTTGGTGATTTTAAAAACCCATCTGGGTGGATGGTGCTCTGCTGTGTGGTGAAGAGTAAAACGAACTCCATCAAGCTTTCAGCGGATCCCATGGAAGGATTTACGCTGGCTTCTGTGGAATTTGGGTGGGGCTTTGAGCATGTGAATTTCTTTTAGAAAGTTGTCTTAAAAATGGAGGACTGTACTTGTAAGAATAAGTGCTGGATGGAGGATTTTTCTCTCTGGCATTTTTGCGTTTTAGTAGTTAAAAACAAGACTTAGATACGCTAGTAGAAATTATTTTGTGAAATATATCTGTTATGTTAAAAAACAATTATTGATTGAAGATCTGGTTTTCAAAAGAGCTCTTACACTGCTTCATGTCTGTTGGTCTGTGTGCTAATTGTTATTTTTTAATCAGGCTGTATTTGGCGCTTAAGTATGAAAGGCTATCTATTTTATCATGACAATTATTTCTGAAGTTTTTGTTTGAAAGCGTTTAACTGTGGCAATGGTGATTCCTAGTCACATACAGAAGGTGTTTGTTTTCCAACTGTGTTTAGTAAACATGAAACTAAAAGGATTCCCTGCCCTAAGAAGCATACTGTCTGGGGTCTTGGAGAAGGTGGTTTCCAGACAGCAGGACGGCTGCAATTGCACAGGAAGCGCTACAGCTGTATTAATCTGGAAGAACATCACAGTAAGCTGTGACAATGAACTTCAGCTGAAGATCTTTATCCAGATTTCTTTATAAAGACTGATTTTGTCAGTTAAACAGCAAAGCTCATAAGGGTCAGTGATTTACAAATGCATTTCAGTGTATTTCAATGTGTACTGCAACTTTCTAGTCCCCTCAAGATGGAGGAAAAGTTGATATTTGGTATGGTTTTGTACAACATTTGAAATGAGCTGATATGCAGGAGCACATAGGGACTTCAATGATACTCTCTGATGCCTTGTAATTCACTTAATTTGCAGTGCTTCTATGTTACCAAAATTTTAAAAAATGTATAGAAGTTCCCTCCACCCACAAACGCTTGAATTTTGCAGCTGTGGTTAAAATAGTGACCAGATAGTGAATGCAATTGCTCTTGCTTTTTAGCAAGAGCAGCTGCCTGTCTGTGCAGTTGGCCAAGGCAGCCGGCGAGCAGGTTTTGTGAACTTGCATCTTAAACCTTCAGAGGCAGGGGTCGCAAGCCTGGTTAGCGCTACCCAACTGCTCCCCCTTGTGCTGGCTGCTGGGCGCTTCGTTCACGCACCTTCCTGTTCCTAGGCTTCGTCTGGAGGTATCCCTTGGTACTTCTAAAGAAGTGTGAGTAGTTGATTCAAGCAATATACTTAACTGGTTTATTTTCAGCCTCGTTGCTTGCAGGAATTTCACGCGGAGGGGATGCTTAAGTGCAGTTAAACGACCACGTGCATTCCTACATACCACAAGTGTTCTTGGTGCACTTGTACATACTGAAAAAATGGTACTGAGATTACTCAGGTAAAAATGTCTGGGAAAAAAAATATATTTTAAATTCGTATTTAAAAGAATGTGAGGGAGGATGATCTGTTATGAAAAAAATGTGTAATTCAGTTAATTTTTCCCTAGTTGTAGACATTAGATGTATGCTCTCTCTTTTACAAATTTCACAAATTTTACAAATTTGATTATAATGCCTTTTAGGAGATTGGATGCTTCTTAATCCTGCATAAAATACTTATCTGTATTTTACTGCAGGTTTTTGAGCTGCATGAGTTTTTTATAACATGTAACTCACAGAGCAAAATTGATTCAGACTTGGTCCCTGTATTTGATCTCGCTAACGTTGTTTGGATTAACATTTTTTGTGAATGTCAAACCATTCTAAAGTGTCTGGGACTGTGTTGATCTTTTTAAAGATTAATGGTTTCTGTTATATTTAATTTGCATTATATAGGAACAAGTTCTCAATGGTTGTGTCAAGTCTGCATTTGCTACTGTTAATGGGATACATGTGTATTACACTAAAACCTACGCTCTCAGTCCCTAAGTAGTTCTCTGAAAACTAGCAGTGTTTTTATGTAAAGCAGCAGCATTTCTGTCTATGTAAGCAGCTTTAAATATAAACATTTTCCAGCATAATTTATTATGTTCCTCTAATTCTTTGTCAATACATATTTTTTCATTAATGGTGTTCACAGAATTTGTACTTTCTGATTGAAAGTAATAACATGTATTGCCAGTGTTTTTTTTTTTTTTTCTTACAGAAATAAGTGCAGTTTTGGGGAAATACATAAATTCATGAAATCAGATAGCATTGACAGCACTTTGCAGATAGTAGAGATGAGGAGAGATGCAAATGCAAAGGGAACAGAGCCAGTGATGCTATCAAGGGAAGGAGTATGTTTTTAGAAGTGTAGAAAAAGTATTCAAAATGATATGGCTTATCAAACATTTCTCAACTAATGATTAGTTAAAACCAAACAGAAATGGTTAACTAAATCAGCATTATATTCTCTGGATGTTCTTTATTTAAGGCAGTGTGTTCATGCGGGCTACAGGCACGGCGTTGCTAAATGCTTTATGTCAGTTAACGCAAATAGTTGTACCCATTAAGCAGTAATCTTAAACAGGCAGCAGCCCAGAGGAGCACAGGTGTATCGGGACCTTTGTACAGTAGCCTTCCACAAACCAAAGCAGGTTTTCATTAATACAGAGTGGTCTGCTATCTGATGGTGTGCTGTTAACTTTTGGGGCACGGTTTCTCACAGCTAAAGTAATTTAGTAAATGACAAGTAGAATTCTTAAATGCTTTCAATGGATTAATGCAATGGGCTTTTTTATTATTATTTTTTAAGATAAAGGGGCTATTGCATCCATTTGGTGTCTTTACTGCTGGAAAAATAATGATGAGCAGAAGTTTTTTGTGTTACCTTGGTAAGAGATCCTCTGGAAGTCAAACACTATTAACTTTAACGAAGTAGCTTTGATGGCAGGGAAGAGACAGCTGATACTACACTTCCCTAACAATAAACCACTCTGACAGATAAAAACAAACATGTGTGCAATAGCATATAGCGTTTCAGAGAACGGAGCCAGAAACTAATGTAGACTGATGTGATCTTTGCATTCTTTTATGGCCTGTTACTACTTTTGAGATGGTTACTTCTGAAAAGAAGAAAAAAATAATTCTGCTTTTATGACAAATTTATATCATCTTGCTAAAATAGGCAAAAGCGAATAGCTGGAGGTCCCTGATATATTTTTGAGCTGTAATCGTTGGAAATCAGTTCTGATCTTTTGTGATCATTTTGCTTAAAATTCTACACTGCTGTGCTACTGCTGCTAACCTAGTCAGAAGGAAAATACTATTTTGTTGTGGTGATGTGCTTATTTCCTCCTATCTATATTCTGCTTTCTTTCCATGAGCTTGTTTTCTTCTTGCACTCAACTCTGGACATGCTAGAACTGGTTTTCATTATTTTCACCCAAGCTAGAGAAACATTTTATTTTTCACTTAAATCTCTATACTGAGGACAAACAGACATGGCACATTTGCTGAAAGTAAATAATCCAAAAAAAGGAGGAGGGAAATACATTTTTTTTTTTTTTAACAATAGCTTGCCGAGTGTGAGTTATCTCAGTTACAGCAAAATGTGTGTTAGTCAGATCCCAGGAGCAAAAATGCCAATTAAAGTTTGTCTTCCCAGTACAACAATTTGATACAAAACTTTTCTAAAGGCCTCAGTAAATACACATCAGTAGTAATTGCTGTTTATTTCCCCAGCTGAAGACTTGACTTTTTTTTTGTTTTTAAGTGTTTGTGGATCAATGGAACTAGAAAAAGACAAGCGCTTTATCAACACAGACACAGCCTTGGCTGTAGATAATGACCCCAGACATTCATGTCATGCGCTGCATGGATGCTTTCTTTCATTCATGCTGCATATAAAAAGACTCGTTTCCTTTTCACCCTTGAGTTCATGGCAATCGCACTTCTTTTATCCTGCTCTAAAAGAAGGCCAGGTAAAAGGTGCACATAAGCCAGGAACCCACTCCTGCTGTTTTGGTGAGCGGCCCTTGTGTGTGCTGGGCAGCCTGGCTGAGGCAGCAGCTGCCTTCGCTGAGTGAAGTCTGGTGTTAGGGCACTTCCATGGAAGGTAAAGGTGGTTTGAACTTCTTCCCCTGAGGAGGCTGTACTCACAAGCTTCTTGCATTTTTGCCACTTCGATCACTTAGGAAAAGAGTGCTTACTTGTTTTTACTGGACTTACTTTCAAAGAAAAGTGAGCTGGTCATCTACGCCTAACCAGATGACATGGGCATCTGAGGGGCAGCACAGGGTTTTGGGGTGTGATGCCAAGAGTGAAATTTCAGGCATGTCAGAGCCCCTACAGCCAAGCGTCTTGATGCTGAACGCTGCTGTGTTTAAGTCCTGTTGTGATCTGAGCCATGCTGCCTGATGTGTCACTGACGGTAGTGACATGACGGGAATGTCTGCCCAGTCCAGTTGCTGCTTTTAAAATTTAATAGCAAAAGCAGAGTATTTATTCAGGACAAGCAGTGTGCAAAGACCAAGGATTAAAAAATAAAATAAATAATTTTAAAATCTTGTAGCCAAAGCTGTTTTTAGGACTTGATGTACCCTAGTAATTAAATCTATGCTGTAACCATGGCCATGTCCTCTTTAGAGCAGATTTCTGCTGCAGAGTTGGTGTCAGTCGCTATTTTCATTTGCATGTATCTCGTGAGCTGCTTTTCAGGTTACATCTGTCTCATCCAGGCATCAGAGTCAATTTCTGTATGCTGTACCTTTCTCATGAAGACAGGCTCTTTTAAACCAAGAAGATGGAGCAATTTGCTCATATAAATTGCCAATATGCCTGAAAAGCAGAATTTGCTTGCTTTTACCGGTAACGTCACCATGTCTTGTGGAAGCACTGTTCTTTGGGCAGGTGAATTCATGGACTTGGCTCCTCTGAAGGCAGGCGTGGTGCTGTAAGGCAACTGATTCAGCGAGAGGTGCACTGCCTGGCTCAGTAAAAGTGCACAGCCTGCCTGCCGAGCACTACTGCTCAGCGGTCATGAGCAAGGCGTTTTGCTGACAGAAACGCAGGCTGTGGTGGTACCACACCAGCAGGGCTCTGTTGGTCTGGGCCAGGAGGTGCTTGACTGAAAGAGCTTCCATGCTTTGTGTGCACAGTGGTCCTGTGCAGCCAGAGGCAGGGCTTTGCAGCAGTGCAGTGGGTGGGAAGATGGCCCAACACCAAATGCTTTCAGCCTGTCTACTTCTGCACTGGGAGAAAGGCTTTGTGAAAGGTTCTGGAGCTGTGGGTGGAGGCTGCCACAGCACTGTTAAAACCAAACTGTATTTTGTGCCACCCCCTGCCTTCTGCTGAGCTTTTTGGTGCTTGTATGTGCCTTTTGAATATGTGGGTTGCTTGCATGCAACTACACAGGTTTTTTTTTTTTTGTTGTTGTTGTTTTTTTGTTTTGTTTTGTTCTTTCATTTGGTTTATTTATTTAACTTAGCAAGGGCTACTTTTGTTATTGAGAATTACCTATTTTTGTAACTAATTTTTTTTTTTTTAAATGTTTTGGATAATTGTAGAACACGTAGTAATAGATTTAAGTGGAATACCCGATTTATGGTTGTAAAGCACAGAAACTAGGAAGTCTTCCTAACTCTGCCATTTTTCAGTGTTAAAAATAGATAAGCGTGGCCTCAAAGATTTGACGCAGGGAAGACTCCTATATTCTCGCTTTGTTCCCTCCACTTATCAGGACGATCCTTTTCCTGAGTCGCTCCATACTTCCTTTTCCAGGATGCTTTATATACAGGAGGTCCAGATGTTAGTTAAGTCAGTATCTGATTTCCTGAAATAGATAATTTAATGTCTATACACTACATGTTTCTTTTCAAGGCTCAGTATTACCTTTATCACATGGTAATCTTGTGTTATTTCATTTACAGTATTTTAGTTTTCACGTAGTAGCTGAAGTTACATGCACTCAAGACTTTTTATCTATTGCTCTGCCTTATTTTGACTGCAAACTTTCTGGAGGGGTACGGTTTATAAGAGGGACAAACTGGTTTTAGTTTGGCACATGGAGAATGCAAATACAGTTGGAGATTGCACAAGAGCTGTGCCCTCTTGTGTTCACTTAGAAAAGCAACTAGGGTAAGAAAAAGCAAGCCTGAAATGAAGTTGGTAGGAGCTGTTATCACACATCTTCAGTCTGATCATACAACAGGTCTCAATCCACAGAAGTACGTGCATTCTACATTTCCAAAATGTGATGATTTCTCCTCTTCTCTGCCTCGGGCAGTACATGTTAGATCAT